TTAACCTTCTATAATTATATGCTTAAACATACTGAAAAATTGTGCTCCAACAAAACTAAAAATACTGTGCCTTAACAACACTAAAATGTGCTCATAATGCTGACAAATTGTGCTCCTGTAATACTTTAAAGTTCATACAATACACTCTCTTAAATCCTTAATTTCATGTGCTTAAAAAAAATACTAAAAAGCTGTATATGACTAAGAAAAACTATGCTTATAATACCAAAAGGAATTGTGCTCCAAAAACTGTGTTCTAACAATACTGAGGAAACTGTTAGCCACAACAGCTCCTGATGTTACCATTGTTACCTGCAGAAAACAGCATCAACCTTGTTCTTTCTTTCCAAGGTTTCATTCATCATGCAGGCAGCTACGAACACCTGTGTACAAAAAAAACCTTAACATATGAAACAACTTTTGCAAATGAACTGAGGGGGCTGCCAACTGTTCTCTTCCCGTTTCTGTCTTGCAAAAGTGTTGTACAAATTCTTAAATCACTAACCCCTACACCAAATACACAGCATTGTCTGGCAACTTGGTAGTATTTTTCAAACTGGACAAGCAATCCACCCTTTTAAAGTTTTTCTAGTTTGGATATGATATAGAATTTTACCCCAAAAATTGTTATTGCACAATCACATATAATCTTGGGAAAACTCATAAGCCAAAAGGTTTCTGTCATATGCTGACTCCAAATGAATCTTGCTACCCACTGTAACACTACTGAGATGAAACACAGACAAATACGAGCACCGCAAGATAATCAATGTCTGATGTAGAATTCCCAAACCACACCAGTCTGCCCAGTCTTCACAAACATCACTGGTGTGACTTGAACAGCACAGAAACAGATCGTTGTATACAGCGACAACCCTTAGGCCTCAGGATGTTAAAAGTTCCATAGTTTTCCACTGTCTTCCTTTCCCCTTAGTGGCATGTCTGCCCTATCTCAGGAGGCAAAACCAAGCACAACTGCAGTCACTCTGCACACGCCATCACATATGTCCTTCACTTCTTGAAGCCAGGGCTTAGTTCTAGCCTCTACCTTTAAGATTGCTGCAAGAACAACTTGGCAGCACACAGTTCAGGAGAGTTTGTTTCCAAATTTCGGCCAAATTCATAATACAAATGTAATCATATTATAACTTTCTATGCCGGAGAAAAATGCAAGTTTTGATTCCAACTCTGATTCTTGCTTGCTAGCAATATAATACCACATACAAAGAGAATAACTGGAAACACCTTGTTGGTGACAGAGATTTCCTTAACTCTGGAATAGTAGATTCAGGGATCTATTAGGGCAAGAGGTCTGCTATACAAGAAAGAAAAAACCAATGCATTTCGTTCTTTTAGATGCATGGCCTGCATTGAATGGTTAATGCATGGCTGTAGTTATTGTTCTGATTAATACAAAGATGACAAAAACAATTAGAACAGTTTCTCTAATTTCCTGTATTTTGCATCTTCTTCCCAGTCTTGAGCTAGGCTCACCGCAGCCACAGATGGGCTCCTCTTATTCACGACAATTACTAATGACAGATTGAGAATGAACAGTTTTGACTTGTGATATAACCAGACGAATAAGGATTATTTGAAGGCATAGGAGAGGTATTGTCAGTCATACCAATTACAATACCAGGTTCATCCCAGGGCTTTTCAATATAGACCATACACTTGGGATTAAATTAAAGATTTTGTGTCATTTTCTCTCTTTTTCCAAAATTATAATTAACACTATCTCAGCAGGAGACTAAAAATATAACCAAAAAATTAAAAATATAACTACAAAGGTCTTTCTCTTCAGAACACCGTAGAAATGTTGCCCACTACTCCAAGAAGGAAGGAAAAATTAATTACATAAAAGTTAATTTACTTACTTTTCAATATATTTAGTGCATTTAAGTCTATGACAGTGAAAAAATACTGTTTGATTATTCTGTTTAATACTCAGCCTTAAGCTACATGTGCAGTTCAGAAGGATATAGAAGGCCAGATTCCAGCTTGCAGCCGGTTCCTTAGATGTGATCTACATCATCTGCTCGTATTTTTAGTTCTTTTACCTATGAAATTTCAGGAAGAGAACAAAATTCACAACATAAGCAGCACAAAGGAATACAAATAACTAGTTGTAAGAACGTGTAACTCCATAATTGTGGAACAACAGCACAGAACAGGTAAAAACCACACCTGTTATATTAAAATCCTAAATCGCTCACAGGTTTTAAATAATTTCTCGAATGTAAAGCTAACTAAATCTAGCTTCGAGATCGTTATATTGGGAGGAAAACTAGAAAAATTTTACTAAATTCAACTTGACTCTAGTAACTCAGTTTTATTGCAATCTCTACTGATTTCCTGACAGTTATCATGTGGTCTCCAGACATTTCTGCTTTATAAATCAAATGGGCATAAAAAGTTCTAATTCACGCATCAATGGTTTTGGAAAAGTGTAATTTAGCAATCTGCTCTTTTATTGGTATAAACTAAACACACACATTTTGCATCTTGTTAGGTTATTTTAAAAATAATCTGAAATTCATGTAGTGTAACTGTTGACATAACATCAATGCCAAGAGAGATAAGTCAAACTTCACAGCATAGTGTGTGCCTGAGTAGTGGTTTTAGAAAAGCAATTAGGCTGTATGCTATATCAGCAGTTATAAAACATTTAAAAACTTATAATATGGTTCGTTTGACCAGACTGCTCTGTACATACTGTACGAATCCACGACAGAAGATATATATTAAAATCTGAAAAAAAAAATGTACTTGCTGCTATGTTATAAATAGAATATTAACAATTGCTTAAACAGTACATGAAATGCAACTCAAAGTTGCAACTCTGTCATAAACACAGAAGAAAAAAAAGGAAAAAATAATGAATTCACTAAACTTGACCAAGGAAAAGAAATAATATCAGACAGGAATGTAAACTAAACATCCAAATGTTAAAATCAGCTGAGTAAACCTTTTTAGACACAATCCTAAAGATGTGATTTCCACTGTCACAACAACTTCTCAGTTTATAACAGGAAGATAGAGAGATGTTTTACCTAAGAATTAAGGAAATCCTCAGCCTGCTAGCTTTCCATTTATCCTATTTGCAGATTTGTAGTTTTTGTAAGATAAGTTCTACTCTCTCCCTAGTTCTGAGAAACTGCTGGAGGTGGTTTGAGTCCCACCCAGTTGCTAAGCAACAAATGATCTCTATTGTGTGAACCTTATGTCTCCTGCTAAGGCTGAACACGAAATTTGGGCAGAAGGTCTTTACAGGGGTAAAATGTAACTAAAAACAAGGCAATTCACTAAAGCTTTTATATAAAGATTCATTCTCCGGGAAACTCTTAAAATTTCTTGCATGCTAACTTTCAGTAAAACACAATCTTTTAGTTTTAAGTTATCTACAAGTGAGTAGAAGGACTAAAGAGAGAGATTCTGCTTTCTCTTCTCAATGACTGACATGCCTGGATTCTGCGGGGCAACTCCCCCGCAAGCCAGTCACGGCCGAGCCGCTGCTCCGTGCGCCGTGCAGCTCCCGGGGATGCCCGCAGAAGTCTGACTGGCTCTGCAGAAGTAGCTGTCGGCGTTGCCTCTGTCACTGAGGTGCCTCTGCCGCCGAGGTGCCCCTGCCGCCTCTTGCCGTGGCTGCCAGCGCCGCCTCCCCCACGGCCGAGCCGGCGCAGCGGCAGCCCCGGCGCGCAGCCCCAGCCCTGGCGCGCGGCCCCAGCACCCACACGCCGGACTCTGGTTTGAGTAATCCTAAAGAGAATTTTTATGCTTTTATGTGTACCTGAGACACTCTAACAGGAGGAAATTCTCCCGGACTCTCACCTCTGGCTTTGAACAGTTACTAACAAACGTATGGTCGCTTCTCCACACACACACAAGCACGGTACCGTTAACAATACAGTGAGCTCACAACAACATTGGACACACAACACAATTAACACGAGAGTTAACAAAAATACGGGAAGACCTGCCTCTCCTGTCAACAAGAAGTGGCACTTTTTCGGTGTTGCTCGTTTGCTCGTTGTGCTAATATAGCATCTTCTAATGCAAGGCTCAATAGCTGCTACTTTCTTTCATATGTACCATACCTGGAAACGGGGTGTTTTTTTCTTTTTTTTTTTTTTTTTTCCCCCGAAAACAGCGTCTGTTGCCATGGCAGCGATTCAGTGGCTGTCCTCCGGGTTCCATGGTGGCTTCAGGCGCCAGCGGTGCAGCGCCATCTCGGGACGCGGAGGCTCCCAGCAGTGTCGGTCCAGTTGACACATGCGCAGTAGCCGGCACAGTGAGGAGCGACACTGCTGACCGCGCAGCCGCAGGAGAGAGCGGTGCCGCGGGCTCGGCTCCAGCTTCATTGTCCGCCGCTACTGATGTTCCTGCAGCCCCTACACATCCTGCTGCTACATGCACGGTGCTAAACGGAGGTGATCCCGCTGCTGTTAAGGGTCCTAGCATTCGCAACTTCGCAGCCGCAGGCACGGGGATCTCCCCTACAGCAGACTGAACGGGGCGGGGACCCGCCGTAGTCCCGCCATCCTCCGACAAAGCTGTTCGAACCTTTATGAGTTCCCGTCGCTCAGAACTTAACTCTCGTAGCGACCCAACTGCCAGACGCCAAAGCAGAGTACACTTTCTAGTGGCTCCTGACCCCGTAGAGATCTCGTCCCAAAACAATTCCTTTACAGCGTCCCTTGTGGACACCTGAAAGGCGGTTCGAGCAGTGGGAAGTAGATTCCTCGCTCTCACCCATGCCATTAACCCCTTAGGGGCTGTTTCATCAGAAACGGGCTCTCCTAGAGAGATTATATATTGGAGGAGCGTTTCCACGGCCTCATCCTCTTTGGATGCCGCGGGCCCCATGCCTCCTCCCTCGGTCGACTCACCGGGCCAAGGCGAGATTCCTCAGTGCCGTGCGCATGGCCTTTATTGCAGCGCCGAGGACAGCGCTGCCTGCACGACCGCTTCCCTCAGCTCCTCCCGGTCACCTTACGTCCCTGCAGAACTCGGCGAAGCAGTACTCCCTGTTAAACGGGCGCCAGATAACGGCGGAGGGGGTCTGACAGAAATGCACACAAATCAATATGATTGGCAAAAATGTCCCCTTTATTAGAGGACAGACAGCTTATATGCTGCCTGTGACACACAGACATGTGATTCTTCCCCAGGTTACATTGGATACATAAGGAAAACATACTGTGGTATACAGTACTAATTGGATAACAGCAGGTGTCCATAAAACTTGTTTTCCTGCCAGAACAACTCCCCCTTCACCTTGGCACAAGGCCTGCAGCCATATTAGTGGCGCAGTATTTTTTTACTGTCTGCACCCAGCCATGCCAAGGTGAAGGTCTCAGAAATGCAATAGAAATTGTTCACACAATTTCTGTCCTCCGACACAGGAGAGCTGCGGTTCTTCTCAGCCTGTTTCCCATCTGCCCTGGACTTTCCCTTGGGCTGCCTTGAAGATGACTTA